CATAAAAGTCATTCTTTAAGCAGAAGCTTTTTGACATCACCTCTACTTGGATCTTATCTTCATTCATACCACAACTTAGGGAAGACAAAAGCTCTGGACATTTGTTAAATTCACATGACCAATTATCTGAAGTGTTCCTAGGTATTTTGACCTTATCAGATACAAAGTAATGATAAAGAGGTTGAAGTAAGAATGCATGAGCTTTACATTTTTATTTCATTCTAGTGTCAATCTTTTCAAGATAAGACACATTATATTTTTATCCAAACGAAGAATTTATCTTTAAGAAAAAAGAACATACATTTTCTTAATCTTTTCTAATCATTTAGTCTTGATAATAAAACATGAAATTGCTAAAATTAAATAGAGGAGCAATGATGACTAAATCATTATGTAATGCTAATGTGCAACTATAAACTTAATGTATCCTATTATACTACTATGATTAACCAATTAACAGTAATATTAACTACAGTGATTCCTATGAACAGTGCTGCTACAAACACTTTATGAGCAACTCTATTGAGACTTTGTTTCATTCTTCAATTTTCCTTTTGAAACTGGTTTTAAACCCAAGCTATGTGTTTTCTAGTTTTCTGCTTTACCATAGAGTTGCATCCCTAGTCTAGTATTGTTGTTCTTGTAACATAAGTTTGGTACAAGATGAGCAGAACTTTGCAATGGTTTATCTGCACCAGAAATGAGACCCAATAGAGGCTCCATGTGCTCTCCTATTATATTTATTGAGTACATAAGATGAAGAGCTTTGCATGGTGCATTCTGGTTTTCTGTAACCTGAGTTCTTTGAAGTCTCTGTTTATTCTCAGTTCTTTGTCTGTCAATGACTCAGAATATTGTATGACTCTTGGGGCTCTGGACCATTAGATTCTTATAAAAGCCATCAGGTATTTACATTATTTCAAACACTGGAGAAGAGGAGAACAAGGAGAATGTAAGCTGGAGCCTTTTTCATGTGGATTAGTAAAGTCTGAGGAAACAGTTACATGTTTGTGTAAAGTATGATTCTCACAACTTCCTTTGAACCTAAGCATTCCAGACCAGAGAGAGGAGGAAGATTTGTGTGTCTCAGGAGGAGAACGAAACATATATGGCTGAGGAAGCTCCTGAAACTTATAACGTTCATAGTCTCCTACCCAGAGTTTATAACAATTGCTAGGGGTGGAGACTATCTCATCAGAGGATGTTTGCAAGTTGTAAAAGAATTTCCAAGATGTGGCTTTCACAAGTCACTACCCATGCTATGGTAGGATCTTTGGTGATGCAGCTGTGTTTAAGATACTCATTCTTCTGCAAGCAAGCTCTTTTCTGTCTTCCTGTAAGTAATCCAGACACATTCTCTGAGTCACCAAGCTTGACTTTGATGCAATTGTTCTTTTGGTTACTCATCAGTTTTCTATCAGTGATGAAAAATTAACTATTTGCTTATATCTCCATAGGAATGGTCATACAACTGTGAACTAAACATACTTCCACCCAAATCACAGCCAACTGAATTGTGTTTCATTAGAAATAAAATTAACCCATGGTGTGTATCCACTATAATTAATTTACATATTTAAAAATCAGCTCTTGCTGAGGCTCAATATCATCATAAATATATTTTGAGTGTGAAACTTCAAGGGTTTGGGTGAAATTTTTTCAGATATTTACTTGGCAAGTGTCTATAGATTAGAAGACAAAACAATTTCTAAGATTTGAGTTTTTTTTTTTTTTTTTTTTTTTTTTCTGAGACAGGGTTTCTCTGTGTAGCTTTGTGCCTTTCCTGGAACTCGCTTTGAAGATTTGAGTTTCTTAAGTCTAGAGAGCCCTTTTCCTGTTGATAAAATGTTTTTCTTTAGAATCTGTCTTTAGAAAATAGTCTCTCTCTCTCTCTCTCTCTCTCTCTCTCTCTCTCTCTCTCTCTCTCTCAGTGTGTGTGTGTGTATTTCTCAAATCTCTTCCATGCTAATTTAAATATACTCACTAAGTATGCATAACCTGTATAAGTGGAATTATGGACAAAGATCACAGTTTAAAGAAGGTATATGCTCTATAGCTTGAGTGTTAATGAGTGTTCATGTTATCCTGTTCTAAATATGGCTACACTCAGGGAAGATAAATAAGCCACTTTCCAAGGTCACAGAAAGAACAGGTGCTTCAGCTTGAACTCTGAATATTTTTCATAATGCACAGTTAATGGTTGTATCCAAACCTATCCATTAGCTAGTCTTACAGTAATTCCATCCTTCAAATGTGTCAGTATGTTTTCATGTACTAGCTTTGGAATTCTACTCTTTACTACAGGGTTAGTGTTGAGGAGGAGCTTTGACAAATTTCTGCCATGAATTACATGGTGTTGTCTTCCTCTTCTGACCAGTTGAATGTTCTTTTTCCACTCATATTTCTCTCTTAAATCAGTTATGATGGGTAGCTCCTCACGTTGTGTGACCATTGAGAATCTCCAGTGTTGTGTGCCTGACTCAAAGTGGCTATGGACACTGCAATGCTGGCATTTGTCCTATGGAGTTATCTCATAGGCTTATGCTAGATAACAGCAAAATGACACATTGTTCATTTTTTGATCAGTGTAAGGTAGAGACAGACACATGCTAAGGGATCATATGGTTTCTGTGCTCAGCAGATATATTGTTCTCTTCTATAAAATTATCATTAAATATTATGCTCATCAAATGCCAAGAGAAAATTGAAATACAGCATTTTAAGAAAATAATAAATATTGTACTCAATTAGAATGTTTGTACCATGCAAAAGAGTGAAATATTTCTTGCATGCATGAATTTGTGAGTGGCTAATGTGAGTAATGTTAAGAATTAATAAGGAAGACTTTGTAGACTTGGTGAAATCCCAGAGGCAGCAGTTTGGAGACTCACAGGCTTTGCTTGAGACATATCTCATAGCAGGGCCTGATCTTACACAGGAGTCACTCTGCAGTGGCCGCCATTGCTGCACATGAGCAGTAGGAATCATATGTAAAGCTCCAAAGGTGTCTGATTAGGGTTCTTCAAACATGCTCATGATAGGAGTTACTTTTGAGATGCAGCATGCAGGAACAATAAAAACAGCAGGAACATCTGCTTAAGGTTCTTCAAAATTCTGTCAGTCACCCCTTGTAGTTTTCTATAATGACTAATAATAACATATATGGTATTTATTATCTCAATTCACTTGTGTGTTTGTTGTATAAGTCCAAAACTCATAAATGTTTATCCAAAGTATTCAATTTGATTTGATTCTCATGGAGCCAATGAGCATTGCTAAATGAGGTTTTAATTATAGATCTATGGTCTCAGGTCCACTTGTATGGCTGAAGAGGGTATATGTTTCTTCCTTTTTCATGGATGCTGTTTTAAAAGCATCAAAAACACAGTAAGCTAATATAGCTCAAGTAGAAAACTATATAATTTAATTGGATGAAAGATCTTAATATTTATTCTTCTATGGATTCTCTGTCTCAGCTTCTCTCTACTAGGAAAATTAGATATCTAAAGATAAGGCAAAAATAAGAAGACTAACTGATATAAATAAGGACAAGGTTTATATCTCAACAAAATACTAAGAACTTCACATTTATGTATGGAAATTCTCAGACAGTATCAAGGAGATCATTTGAACCCAAGTTAAATTTGCGGATTTCAGATCCTTCTCCTGAGATGTGCTTAGCTCTCCTTCATCAAATTCTTATTCATTCTTCATAATTTTCTAACATATTTAGCTCAAAGTATTTTCTACTTCAATTTCTGTAGGTTGTAGCATGAACACTATTTGAATTGGTGCTTAGCCTATATTATTATGTTTTTATTATGTGCTTATGAGTCCATCTAGTTCCTTAAGCATCAGACTCCTAGGCAGCACTTTATGACATCCTGTGTGCTAGAGCATAAAGGGTGGCTGCCAAAGAATGGGAACAAAAGAAGAAAAAGATTAAAAAGTATTTTCTTGGTAGGTATTTTAAAATAACACAGATAAACTAGGTGGGAAAATTTAGTTGTCTGAATTGAGACATCAAATATTTTACACAAATATTTGAACCAAAGTTTAGGAGGCACAGCGGAGTCCCAGGATGTTACCTGAAATACCTCGTATAGTCTTAGTCAAGGAGGAGAATGAAATTTAATTCAATACATCCATCCCAGGAATGAACCATTTTCAGGCTTGCCACTGAAGTTTATCTTTTCATTTCGTTCTTGATACAAGCTCTGACCTTGGTTTTTTTTAGTTGTCTTAAATGTCCCAGGTCCAAGAGGAGCTCTCATGGCATTCTGCTGCCTTCAAATCAGGTCTCCTTGAGTACTAGTCCAATTCCTTTACCTCTCAAGAAGACACTCCAGTGCTCTTCATTCTGAGTGTGTAGTAGAGATTCTGTCAACATGAGTTTATTATTGAAAACCACGCTGCCATTAAGAGTGTTTGTTGTTATCTGTTATTTGTGAAGAAAGCAAAAACGGAACCAAAAACTTCAACTGAAAATTTCCCAAGTGCAGTCATCAAGTATATAGATTGTCTTAATAAATGTGCTGGTGTTTGATGTTTATATAAACTATACTTTGGGCCAGAATTAAGAGAGTAAACAAATTATTTACTGATTCACTATCTCCATATTCACTTTTTCCGGCCACCATATTCCCCAAAGTTCCCCGAAAGGTATTTAAGAAGCTGTAATTTAATATTTGATTATCAATCAATTTCCGAGTTGTCACTGACATTCAGGTTTTATGTGCCATTTTACCAGATTTTTTTCTCTGTTTATAAGTGACTTCTATGATCTGCTAGCACAGGTTTTAAGTGCTAACAGGCTTGTATTAAATTATAACTACTATAAGTACATGGGATGTTGCTATGGTAACTCATGTCCACCTCCTTAGCTTACATTGGAGGCAACTGTTCTGGTGTCATCTGCCCACATGAATCACACCTTATGAGAAACCTTTGGAGCTGAAGAGATGTCTCAGCGGTTATGAACATCTACTGCTCTTGCAGAGGACCTGTGGTCTAGTTCTGAGAACCTGCAAGGCAGCTTATAATCCTTTCTAACTACAGTTCCAAGAGATCCCACAACCACTCCTGGCCTGAGCAGGCACCAGGAATGCATGTAGTGCACATACTTATTGTGCACATAAAAGTTAAAATATATAAATATTTTTTAAAAAATAATTCTCTCATACATTACATCTTGACTGCAGTTTCCCTTCCCTCCACTTCCCCCAGCACCCCCATCCCCATATCCTCTTCCCCACCCCACCCCAATCCTCTTCTACAGATTCACCCCTCCTCTGTTTCCCTTCAGAAAAGAGCAGGCCTCCCAGTGATAACAGCCTAATGCAGCATAACATGCTACAATAAAACTAGGCACGAACCCTAATAACAAAGTTGGACAAGGCAACCCAGTCAGAGGAAAAGGATCTCAAGAGCAAGCTTGAGACATCCCCTACTCCCATTGTTAGGAGTCCCACAAGGGCCTGAGCTGCACAACCATAATGTATAGAGAGAAGACCTAGCACAGACTCATACAGTCTCTATGATTGTTGCTTCAGTTTCTGTGAGCCCCCATGATCCCTGCTTTGTTGATCCTATTGTTATTGTGGTATTCTCAAGCCCTTTGTCTCCTACAATTCTTCCTCCCCCTCTTGTGTGGGTTCCCCAAACTCCTCCAAAATAATGTTTGTCTGTGGGTCTCTGCATCTGCTCCCATCAGTTGCTGGATGGAGCCTCTCTGATGACGGTTAGGCTATGCACCAACCTATGAGTAGAGCAGAATATCAGAAACCTAAGACAAAAATAAGAATTACTTTAATAAAAAGTCAATGAAATGATGCCTAAATAAGTCATTTTTTCTTTTATTGAAAACAAATGCTTTTCTCATACAATATATCCTGATTACACTTCCCCCTCCCTCTACTCTTCCCAGGTCCTCATACCTCCCCTCTGATCCATCCCTTTCCTTTTTAGAACAGGCTTCTAAGCTTCTAAGAGATAACACCCAGACATAAAAAAATAAAATACAATAAGATAAAACAAAAACCATGATATCAAGGCTGGACAAAGAAACCTACCAGAAGGAAAAGAGCCATAAGAAAAGGCACAAGAATCAGTGACTCACTTGTTCACACTCTCAGGAGCCCATAAAATTATAAAGCTGAAAGGTACAACATATATCCAGAGGGCCTAGTGTAGACCTGTGCAAGCCCTGTGCATGGTATTTCAGTCTGCCAGTTCCTATGAGCTTTGCTCAGTTGGTTGAGAGGGTCTTGTTCTCCTGGCACACCCCTCCCTCTGGTTCTTACACCCTTCCCACATCTTCTTCCATGGTGTTACCTGAGCTCTGAGTGTAGGGATTTGATAGACACATCCCATTTAGAGCTCTGTGTTCTAAGGGTTCTCTCTATATAATGTCTGAGTGTTGGTCTCCGCCTCTGTTCCCTTCTGCTGCAGGAGGAAACTACTTCTCTGATTATGACTGAATGAGGCGTTCATCCAGGAGTACAGAAGACTGTCGTTAAGAGTCATTTTATTGATATGTGTAAATTTTTAGACTGGTAATGTTTGGTTTTACCCTAGGTCTCTGGGCTGTCTAATCTCTGGTTCTTGGTCACCCAAGCAGTGTCAGGTATGGGTTTCTTCTTGTGGAGTGAACCTTAAGTCAAATCATGTATTGGTTTGCTACTCCAAAAAGTTCTGTGCCATCATTGGCCTAGTATATTTTGGAGACAGGACAGATTGTAGGTCATAGGTTTTGTGGCAGGGTTTGTGTTTGCATTTCTCTTTTGGTAGTCTTCAGAGGACCTTTCTGTACCAAAGACACTCGAACTTAGGAATGAAGGTGCCATGTGGGCACCAGCTCAGCTTCTCCATGTTTAATGAGTTGTGTGGGTATTGTCTTCAGCAAACCCACTGTCTTAGCAACAAATTGGGTTATTTGAGGATTTCCATGGGAACCCTTTGCCAACAACTCAACAGAGTACCACTACTGGATGCCTTTTTTGGTGACAATAGATGGCCAATGGGGAATCCATATACCCTATTATTGGGAAACTTCATTAGGGTCATATATATATACTTTAGAAATTTTCCTTGCTACTGCAAGGAAATACCCACACAACTCATTAAACATGGAGAAGCTGAGCTGGTGCCCACATGGCACCTTCACTCCTAAGTTCGAGTGTCTTTGGCTGTCCTTTTTATATTGCAAAGTGAGAACTTTCCCTACTGTGTTTGATAAATGTTGTCCAGGTTCCATTGCCAAGAATGTGTTGTCTAAAATGCCTGTTTAGTTTTCAAGGATGGAACTCCACCCTTTACTTGGTTTTAAGTATGTATGGAATGTTATGATAGGACATAGTAATAGTGGTGGTCAGATGTGGAAATGGTAGGGAGACAAATATACATGTGAAATAAACTCAGTATTTTAATAAAGTAAAAAAAAAAAAAAGAAATTTTCCTTGCACTAGGTTTCCATATAATCTCTCAATTGTCCCTCAATTTCAGCTGTCTTTTCATGTATTCCCTTCCTCAATCATATCCCTGCTCCATCAGATCCTTCCATTATTGATCTCATGTGCCACCAGTCCACTTGTAATATCTATTCTATTTTCCCCTCCCTGGGAGATCTATGTGTGCCCTCCGAGTCCCTTTAACTATACCTAACTTTCTGGATTTATGGATTGTAGGTTGGTTATCATTTGTTTAATAGGTAATACTCAACAATAAGTAAATATAGACCATATTCATCTTTCTGGGTTTAGGTTACTTTACCTAGGATGATTTTTCCAGTTCTAGGCATTTCCCTGCCAATTTCATGATGTCATTTTTTTAAACAGCTGAGTAATACTCTGTTGTGAAATGTAGCACATTTTCTGTATCTATTCTTCTGATTTGGGACATCTAGGTTGTTTCCACTTTGTGGCTATTAAAAATAGAGCAGCAATGAACATGGTTGATCAAGTATCCAGTATCCTTCCAGAAGGATGAAGTTTGTTTTGAGTATATGCCTGAGTGCCATAGTGACTATACAAGTTTGCACTCCATATGAGTTGTTTTGAAAAATTGTATATTGTTTTACATTAATAAAGAAAAATCTGATTATTACATAAAATGCTGGATATCATAACTACTGTAAATATCTTTATTAATTAACCACTTTCTAGTGGATTTCTTAAAATTAAACATTTTTGAGTTGTATACAAATTTTATTTATCATTTATTTATTTTTTACCAAAACTATAAAAGGCGGAGTGCTTCAGTATCAGCTGTTGAAGGAATGGAAGCCGTTGCAACAGCAGCAAGGAGTGGGGAGGTGCATGAGGGCAGAGGAAAAAGGGATAATGGTCACCTCTTTAAACTGAAATAAATTACTTATTACATTACACTTTGAGTCCAGATATTTCTAAATTAAAAGCGTATTATTAGTGAAATGCAGGTAACTGATTCTCAACATAAATATTATCTGAGTTCTCCATATTGTGTTTGAAATCATTAATAAGAATTCATGATTAACAAACCATAATAGTGAAGAAGCACAATATGATGATAATAATTTTTCTAAGTAACAAAATATCTGTTTCAGTAATTATCCTCATCAGTTCTCTGTGGTGTTGATAAATTGTCATAATTTAAAGATGTTCTGCCCTCTTAGTCCCAGACATCAAAATGACAGGTTCTGGAACAAGTTAGCTTTTAGTGACAAATGATGTTCTTCTTGACTTACATAAATGTATATTTGAATAGTTCCAGAATTAAGGCATGCTAATCACTGGTAGCTACAGCAATGTCTTCTCTGGTGAGTACATCTATTTGTTCTTTCCTTGTTGAGAGGTAAGAGCTGACAAGCTGACAGTTCTAACTCACTGGATTTTGGCAGCTTGTTTCTTTTGGGATAAATTACTAAAGAATGTAACAGACATCAAAAAGTGTCCTTCCATTGAAAGTAAACAGTTTTCCAGTTTGCATTTCATATGAGACAAAAATGACAAGCTCATGTTTAGTTTTATGTTGTAATTTTTATTGTACCCCATCTGAAGTGAGGTGAACCCATCCCACACTTTGTAATACAAATACATGAGACGCCTTAATTTTTAAAATGTGATTGGAAGTGTTTCTTGCTTTATATCATCCATCTCCAAATTCCAGAACAAAATAATGTCTGTGCTCCTACTGGTATGTAGTAGTAATATGTGAACATCTGGTGACTGTTTAATCTTTTATTCAATTTGATTAAAATCCTATCATAAATTATCAATGATAGAATGTGTGAGGCAACTATTTCATGTATAATCAACATAAATCAGTAAACAAACCATGTTTCATGTTGTGTGGTTTCAAAGAAAGTTTATTCTTTTAATTATATTGAATTGGCATCTGAAACACAGCAGGTGTCATATGAACTTTGTTAACAAAACAATTCTTTAACAATAGCAAACAAGTGAACAATGACTTTTCAGTGACCAAATGTAATCACTTGTATGCATGCCTTAATGAATTTCATAAAGTCATCCACACAAACAATTTCATACAATATAATAAAGATTATAGCAATTTCACATGAAATTAAGATAGACTTTCTCAAGGATGAAATTACCCACAGTCCAGTAGCCATGTCTCATATATGCTAAAGAATGGCTATTGTAAAATTATTTCCTGAAAATGGAAGAACATTGGACTACAGGGACAGTAGAACTAAGAAGGGGTCAATGATTCTTGAATATACAGAAGACTGTATGACCTACTGCCAAGACCACAGACAGGAAGTAGATAGTAAAACAAGTTCAGAATGTGGAATTTGATAATGATAATAAAAAGAGATGGGATATAAGCAAGAAGCTGTGAATTTCATGCCCACTCACAGATTGACACTGTTTTCCTAAGTTTTCTTCTCTGTGACTATGTGTACATGCCAAGCCAATAAAATTTCTGAGGCTAGAAGGAAGTCCAACCTTAAGTTCATGTATGTTAAGATCTAGAAATGCTGTTAGTTGTCCAGTCTTCTTAATGGTCTCATGCTGTTTTAAGACCAGGGCTGAAACTACTCACAACCAATGGCTCCAAAGAAATAAGTACTTTTCTCCTCATGTGGCATGCTTAACTTCATAATCAAAATGGACACAGGAATGGTTAATGAGGCATATTTTCTTTCTATTGGTATACTGCAGCACAAGAACATGTAAATAAGGGAAATCTATTGATGACTATGTTTTAGTCTAATACGTCTATTTTGATACATTAAAAATTTAAATAATTTTTCTTTTGTAATTCTCCTCCTCCTCCTCCTCCTCCTCCTCCTTCTCTCTCTCTCTCTCTCTCTCTCTCTCTCTCTCTCATTCTTTTTGGGACTGTAACTGGGTCTTGTGCTTACCAGGCAAGTATTTGACCACTGATCTAAATCCATTAACAACTTTTCTTTTAAGAAAATAAAGACATATTGAAAACTTTGTGAAGAAACACACCTGGCCAGACTAGTCTGACAAATCAAGGCCAATTTTCTATCTTGTGCCTATCAACCTTCACCTCAATAGGAGATATCTGTTATGTATAAAATACCAATTCCCTCTGGTTTATGTGAACACTGTTTTCATGTGGATGAAATTATTTTATGAGACATTAGAATAGAAAATAGATGCTTAAATATAAGTAAGAAACTGGTTATTCTTCTAATGTTACATTTTAGCAATCACAGTAACTTCAAGATAATTACCAGTCACAATCACAATCAGCCTCTTTCATGTAACTGACACCACATGTCAGTCCCTTCTGTGCTTCACTAATTCATCTACCTGTGAGCTTAATTGAACTCTCTCCTCCACTGGACATGCTCTCAGCATGGCCACTGAAAGCTACTTAATATCTTTCTTGGGACTTCATGGCTTGTGGCTCAACTGCTGGATGTAATTGGCCTTTAATCAATAATGGACAGCCAATGATAGTATCTTCATGGATTCTTTCTGCATACTCTCATGCTATAGGAAATTGTGGGTTTTGCCAAAACTCTACCAATTGCATGAGTCAAATTCAATCTCGTATATTTTTTGGTCAATGATTTTTGAACAGTCTATAACTTATTCTGTTTGATAAAACTGAACATAAAACAACAACTACTTCCTTACAATAAAAGTTTTTGAATTTTAATCCATAACACCACAGAAAAATGACCTGAAATAAATTATTTCAGTGGTTACTTCATAAAAAGTAATTGATGGTACTAATTTAAAGTTGACTTCAAAAACACAAAGTTTAAAAGAGAGATAAAAGACATCAAAAAATAAAGGAAAACTAAGCCACATTTTATGAACATGTAATTTACCTGCTAGTGAAATTATGCTAATAATTATGCAGAATAAGTTAGTAGACTGCAATTAATCCTGAAAGATGACAATAAATTTAAAAAGCTACATAAAATCAGTGATTGATTCCAGTTAAGGTAGCAACATGTAGGTATTTACAAGATAATTTGAAAAAGCTGTTTATATGTTAGTTTTATGAGACTGCTAATAAAAATTGCTGGTGCTTTATGACCAGGACAGGTTCCTTAACTTTGGAGTGAAATTAAGTTACAATGTATACATGCACACCTAATGTCTGCATGAACTAGAAGGTAAAACAGACTTCTTAGTTTGCACTGAGTGTCTTGAACAACTTCACCTCTTCTCAATGTAGCAAAGATCCATCTAACTGCACTGGCCTGCATTCTCTCATGGCATTCTCCATGCAGTCTCTCTCTCTTAAAAAATATTCATAAAACCAACAAGCAAACAGATTTGTGAAACCATGAACTTGGAGCTAGTGATATCTTGGATTCTCTTCTCTACTTTTATTTTTAACAGTTTGTCTGCTTTCTCCATTGTTTGGATCCGTTCTTGGCTGTTCTCATTATACACACTACAAAGGTCTGTCTATATGAAGCTTTGTACCATTCATACACTTCACTGCATTTCTGAGAACTCATTCTTTCCCACCTGAACTCATTGTTTCTAACCACTGATACACACACAAAAACATCATAAAATTGTAGAGCAAAGAAGTAAATGAATGTGAAGACTTCAAACATATGGAACAGGTATAGTATATCTTGAAGATGGTACACTGGTGGATCTCTGTAAGTTCAAGGCCAGCATGGTCTACAGAGAAAGTTCCAGGACAGTCAGGTTAGTTACACAGACAAACCCTGTCTTAAAATGAAACCAAAAAAGAAAAGAAACACAATCACACTATTGTGATAATTTCACCAATTACTGGCACCCAATGTGGGGCACAAACCCACGACCCTGAGATTAAGTGTCTCATGCTCTACCGACTGAGCATTCATTATTGGTGAAATTTTAACTCCACAAAGTTAAAAGGGAGGTTTATTTTGTGGGGTAACTCACAGTGAAGG